ATGAAATCAGTGAACTGTAATTTTTAGCTTATTTTCTGGAACTTGCCTTTGTTCGTGGGAGAAAAAGTGTGCTATGTCTCTCCCTTAAACTGAGGCTAGCTCTAAATACTGTTATGACACCTCAGCTACACCCAACGCCCATGTGGATTCCCCTTAAGGCAGGTTTCCCAGGCACCACCCGGCTTTTATTTGCTTTGCACCTTCCCGAAGCACCCTAGGGACCTTTATGCTATGTTCAAATAGGGAAGTTCCAGTTGTTCCCAATGATTATTTCATACAAAAGTAGCTCTGGTTACCTGGTTAGACAGGTTGGCCACTCCTCTAATTCCTACCCATATTCATAAAGAGGAGACTTGCACATCTTAGCTTCTGCCTTTGAGACGATTAACCTTGCATTCATTTAGCTGCATTAATGTGGTGTTGGCTGACTCCATCCCCTCTCAAGCGTTTACATTGGGGTTTACACTATTCTGTTTTCTCCAACATCCCCAGTCCTCTCCCGACTCCTTTACCACTTCCTGTGGCTGCCCATAGGTTTCTAACTCATGCCAGGTAAGATTCTGTCTCCTGCTATCCTTGTATCCACTAGATTGTGATTCTTGCTCTTCACTGTCAAACTTGGAAGAAGTTGTTGTCCCTAGCCACTCCTTCATTTCCTGTCTGCCTCCTTCCTCCCTACAACATGGCTTCTTTCTCAAAAACTCTTTCTCCAAAGTTTCCAGGAATGTGCTTTTTGGAATATCAACCTCCAGCTTTGATCGCCTGTCATGTGCCCCTCTAGGGTGGCTCCCTCTGCAGAGTCCCCATTTTGGATATCCCATTGGCACTTCCTTAACTCCGGTCAAAGTGTATGGGATCCCTCTTTTCCATTCCCATAGCAGCACCCTCCTCCTGGCTGCGATTCCTTCCCATCTGGCTCGGCACACTTGCCCCCTGGTGACCCTGCTGCTCGTCTCTGTGGCTGGAATCTGCCCTGTACTCCACAGCGATAATATTGTTGCTAGAACACTGTTTTACCACGTCATTTATTTCCCCACAAACCTTCCGTGCCCTTTAGCACCTATAGGATGAGTCCAAACTCCTCATGCTGGCTTTCCAAATATTTCACAATATTTACCCACATCACTTCACCAACTTTGTCCCCTACTTCTTCCAGCTCTGCTGCTGCCCTCTTTGTTGGCTCTCTTTGTTGCTCCCCAGATGGGTGCAGCCTTATCTGTGTCCCTTTGTGCATAGTGTTTTTATTTTCTGGACATCTCCCTCCCCAAATGCTTCTACATATTTTCCCAAGTGTAGCCTCCTTCCACGAAGTGTTCTGCAACGCTTCTCAGTAACTCATAAGGAGGCCTTGCTCTTCTAGTCACTCCCAACAACACAAGCAGTCCATTCTGACACTACTGTGCATGTTCATTGCTAGACATTACTACCTGTTACACTTCTGCCTCCTGAACAAAGCAGTCACTTCTGCTGGCAAGGACTGTGCTATAAACTGCCTTTGGGTCTTTCAAGAAACTTCACACATTGCTGAGTCTGTAGGCCTGTACGGAATGTTTTCAAAGGCGTTAGGATAGTGATTTTTTTCCAAAGCATGAAGAATGACCGTTTGTGTTTTCTTCCTCTACCTCCAGTCAAGTATCACCTCGTGGGCAAACTGCTGAAGGAAGGGGAGGAGCCCACTGTGTACTCAGATGAGGACGAACCAAAGGATGAGACTGCGCGGAAAAATGATTAAGGCATTCGGTGGAAGCATATCTATTTTTGTATTTTGCAGAATCATTTGTAACATTACAGTCTGTCTTTAAAACATGGTGATTTCGATATTTAGAAAAGTTTGGAACTTGCTGTAAATTTTTTAATTAACATCGCTAGTGACACTGATGAAATTAACTTCTGTCTTAGAATGCATGGGATGTTTATGTGTCACAAATCCAGAAAGTGAACCGCAGTGCTGCAATGCAAACATTAATGGTGTTTCTCTTCTATCTGTAGTTAGTACAGGCTGAATTGTAAGACCGTTTTTCGTGAGGAACGGTTAAGGCTGGGGTTCTTCCCCAAACAGGTGAAAAATGTTTGATGTGCACTAAGAACAAAGGATCAGTGTTTAGTCATGATGTCTCTAAAGATAGAAAATCCCTCTGTTCTCAATTGACTTAACTGCATGATTTCTGTTTTATCTACCTCTAAAGCGAATCTGCAGTGTTCCAAAGGCTTTGGGATTGATTGAAAAGAGCTGTCCATAACAAAATGAAATCTCACAGCTGGGCTCAGTTGGAAAAAAACATATATGCTGTGCTTTGGACTGCATTGTGGTCTCTGCCCTCACGTGGACCCACAGACGCTCTCACAAGCACAGTAATCTGCAGTTCGGATTACAACAGGATCTGAACATTTAAAAGAAAGCTTTGGAAAAAAAACCTAAGCTGGCTTGCCTATAAAACCTAAATATATGAAGACGATTATGGGACTATAGTCCCAATCCTTGTGTTCACGGTGGAGCCATGATTATTTGGTTTTTCAACACAATTTGACCTGAAAGAAGGGCATACTGAATGGGAGCAGGTATTTGTCCTAAGAGCCTCCATGCACACCTCTGAAAAATGAGGAAACAGTACATGTCACTAGCCAAGTGGTCCTTAAAGTGTATTCATAAGGTGACAGTCATTATGTTGTTCCAAAAGTGTAGTCGCTGCGAAAGTAGTAGTCAGGTGTGTCTAGGCCTGTGATATCCCGCCTTTGGTTAACACTAAACTTAGCTTAAGTAGACTCTACAGTTGTATGAATTTGTAAAATTGTACTATGAACAACTAGTGAGGTTTCAGACTTCTGTAATTGTAGTTAAATAGTCATTGTATTTTCTTGTGACCTGTGTTTAATGGTTTTACCTCAAATCAAAACAAGATGAAGTGCTTTGTTCAGTTAATAAAATGATTTTACTCAATATAGTATGGTGGCTTAGTTTTTTTAGAACTTATTATAAGGAACCAAATGCAATCATTTTACTTTAGCTCAAAATCCAGAATTTCATTTTTTCAAAAAAAAATTTATTTATTATTTGAAAGGCAGAGTGACAGAGGAGGAGGGAGAGAAAGAGCACGCACTTCTATCCATTGGTTTCCAGATGGCCACAGCAGCCAAGGCTGGGCCAGGCCAGGCTGAAGCCAGAGGCCTGGAAATCCATCTGGGTCTCACATTTTTGGATGGCAGGAGCCCGAGCACTTGGGCCATCATCCACTGCCTTTCCAGGCACATTAGTAGAGAACTGGATTGGAATTGGAGCAGCTGGGATACAAACTGGTGCCCATATGAGATGCCTGTGTTGTGGGCAGCGGCTTAACCCACTGCCCCATGACACCTGCCCCCAGAGTTTCATTTTTGAGTGCAGATTTTTTTGTATTCAATTCAAAACAAGTCTATAAAGGGGCAAAACCTCAAGCAGAGCTCACACCAAATACCACCTTGTCCTGTTAAAAATTGATGAATTGAATTGCTTTTTCTGGCTCATCAAATGCTAACTTTTACCCAGAGCTTTGTAAACTAGAAAAGGCAGACCTGAACCTTGAAGTATATAGCAAAGCTAATAAAGGATAATGTTACATTACTGAAGGCATTGTCATTGCCAAGTGCTAAGGAAGGATTTTGTTTTTGTCTAATATATTGTCTGATAAGGAAACTACCAAGAATCCTTATGGGAGCAAAGCTAATTAACTTCATGTCAGAATGATAGCAGAGTTGCATATGCAGTCAGCAATATAAACATGGACAACCTACTAGTCCATGGATATTAGTGTTTTGTCATTTTAATGTTGAAACTGGCAGTGTTTTCTTACAATAGATGTACCCCTTGACCCAAAGAAAGCTGACAGCTTTCTATTTTTTGTGCTATCAAACCATATTGCATGTATTTTTTTAAATGTGCTTTTTTTCCCCACTAGGTTTTATTCAACAAATATTCAAGTGCCTGTCTTGTTCCAGACAACCTGTTGTGCCTTATGCTTTGTGAGGAGAGTTGGGGAGAGAAGTCAGGCCACCTTTGCTGCCTGAGATCTCATTTACACCTAAAGATTGGGCCATTCCTTTTTACAAAGCTAAATAGGCTTGTCTTATGCCAAAAGGAAAACATCCAGAGCTTCATTAATGCCTCAGTCCAGTAGCTTCATCCCTTCCATTCAGAGCTGAATCAACATTGTGTTGATTACGCGTGAAGGGTTAGTACTGTAAGGCAGGACTTTGATGGAAACAATTCTCAAACCCAGTAAGCATGTAAAAAAGCCATGTTATAGAAAAAGCACCATTCAAGAAGAGGGCTTGCTTAGTAGCACAGCTGCATGTCCGGTGTAGGAGGTGTCAGGTTAGCATCTGTTGGCATCCCACCTGCTATTATCCAACTAGCTTCACAGATGTTTGGTTCTCATTACCAGTATCTTCATAAGCAGCATGCCCTATGTGTTTTTTACATGTTTTCAGTGTCTACTTCACTGTATAATGTAATATTCACCTTGCCTCAGAGGGCCAAGTTTATGCAAATTCTAGATCCAGGACAGGCATCCATACATCCCTTGCTATCAGAGCTCTTTGAACCCAACAAGGACTGGCTCAGCGCCAAAGTGCCCAGATTTTACTAGAGACAGTTTTCTGTCTTGTGTGAAAATGCAGTTAATTCTTGAATGGTCAAAGACTGACTGCCGAGACCCCTAACTTCCACACAATGCTGTAGGAGTGAGATGAAATCCCAGAGTCAGTTTTGCTACCCTTGAATAGCACTGATACAGTGCATATTGAAGGGATGATAACCTTAAACCAAAACATTAAGTTTATGTAATATGAAAATAAAACTCTGATCTCCAGTTCCATGAGCTCTGACAGGTTCAGGCCCCATCAACTAGCATCATAAAAGGAGAAGCTGTAACCTATTAAAATTAGGAAGCTATATTTCCATAGAGAAGTCTGTGGCTCTGCAATGTTCTAGCTGATACACATGGTAAATGAACAAAGACTCAATATTCACTATGACAGTATTTTTTAATATATCTGAAAATTAAGTAGGTGTTATTTTTTCTAGCAATACAAATGAGAAAAGAAAGATCAGCAACATTAGTGCAAAGCAGCATACTACAGGTAGACGTTTTCCTCCCAGAGTGAAATTATCAGCGTTTATTTAAAAATTAACATCTTAAACAGTTTTTGCAACAAACAAAAATACACATATTTGGCTCTTATTTTCAAAATTAGCAGGTTACATGGCTTTCTACCTGAGAAATTCAAATGGAACCAAAGATACATTGGCAGATATTTAGATTTCTTACAGCACTATCAGCAGCCCATACTAGGAAAAACATGAAAATACCTATTGAAAAAGGCAGTTTAAAGTTCAGGCCCTTACTTGACACAGAAAAAAAGGTTCAACAAACACTTCTGCACCACTTAAATAACAGCACAACAGAGTATGTTAATATTAAGAGAAGGTGGTTACATTATTTTCAAGTCAGTTTCATTCCTTACTAAGCCATTCAGTTGAAAAGTACAGAATAAGTTGTTCTCTTCCTCCTTTAAGGCCTACACAGAAAAAGAGGTTGACTCAGATCTAGAATGCATTACCACAAGACAGCTATAAAAGTCCAGGGTTGTTCAGAAAGAAAACATAAAACCAGGATTCTTACTCTCTTCTAGGTCCCAAGACAGGAATGAGCAAACAAATAAGACAGAAATATTATATAGAAATGACTTAGCACCAGTTAAATATTATACAAAAAATTGCACATGCTGTATTTTGCAATTTATTTTATATCTGTTTACTGAGCAGCAAATTGCTTCTATTCCTAAAAACTCTGCAAAGAAAAGTTATTAAATTACAGGGAAAAAAAGTATTTTTCAAAACAAGCGTAGTTGCTTTCCATGACAGACCCAAAACGTTCTTTTTTCAGTGGTGTAAACCATGAAAAAAGAAGGAAGGAGGTGGGTTTTCGTTGGAGGAGAACAATACCCAGTTCCCAGAAAGTTGGTCTGACAGAATACAAGCTGTTGATAGTTCCAAAGGCTCTTCTGGAAAACAGTACTTTGAATATTAGTAGTCACTGCTAGTCCTCAGAGGAGAAAAGGCACTCGCCCCATAAGCAATTTTTCAGATTTGGCAAGCCAAACCTGGCAGGGTCATTAGCTTGAAAGTGGAACTGAACAGGAGAGAGCCAACAAACTCATTCATTGGTTCTTAGCTTCATAAGAAATACAATCTGCTTTGTTACCATCATTGCTGAATTTCTGCATGTACTAACGCACCTTCATAAAAATGTGAATAGGAGAGATCAATGAAACAACTTGTGGCTCCAGGTAAATGAGATTTGGGGGCCAGCTTTGTGGTGCAGCAGGTTAAGCCACCACTTGCCATGCTGGCAATCCCATATCAAAATGCAGGTTTCAGTCCCAGCCGCTCTGCTCCTGATCCAGCTCCCCGCTAATGTGCTTGGGAAAGCAGCAGCAGATGGCCCAAGTGCCTGGCCACTGCTGCCCATGTGGGAGACCAGGATGGAGTTCCTGGCTGCTGACTTCAGCCTGGCCCAGCTCTGGCTGCTATGGCCATTTGGGGAGTGAATCAGCAGATGGAAGATTCTGTCTCTGTCTCTGTGTCTCTCTCTGTCTCTCTCTCTCCTCTTTCTGTTGCTCTGCCTTTCCAATAAATAAATGAATCCTTTTTTAGAAAATGAGGAGATTTTGTAGCCCATTCAGATGCCAGGTTGTTCAAGAGGCTGGTTATGAGTGTGCCTCGTGTCCACATTCTGGGCAACCACACTGACTGGCATCTTATGTGGCTCTACCAGCTGGCACTTGTCTACAAAATAGCATATGAAGACGGAAATGAATCATGTCATGTTGAAAATATTGCCTTCTACTGCTTCTGTGGATTAAAAATCACCTTTTGCAGTTGCAGTCTCTAATCTCATTGATGTCTTCAACAGCCAGGTCAAGTACAGATAGCTTTGGGGGGGGGGGATGGTCACCTACTGCACCTACTGCCCCTGAGGTCCTAAATCAGATGTAAGGCAGCATGAATCAGCCTAGCTTTCTACAGAACATGCATTGCACTAAGATGTAAGTCTTTAAGAATCTATAAAATATCTCAATTTAAAAATATTTAAGAAGTCCAAAACAATTCGGTATAAAGATAAATTGCTTAGGTTAAGAGTTTACAAATCTTGCACATATATAATTTTTCTGCAGCTAGAAAACTATGGGCTTTTCCTTTGACTCTTCCTAACTCCATGGCATTATTTGAGGATTGGAGGAGGCACTTGTTACTGTTGTATAAAAGTCAGTTTGGGGATATTCAGTGACTTTTTACAAACTGATGTCACCCAACCCTGAGTGAAAGGATTACATAACCTGAAATGGAAATGCCACGTCCTCTCTTCCCAAGTGCCATTATTGCTGCCCCAGGAGCTTTCATTATTTCCTTTTACAAATCCCACTGGTTATCACTTCAATCCTGTTGTTTTCATGGAAATGGAAAGACATGGAGTTCTTAAGAAAAGAAAAAATAAAAAACACCCTTGCTAATGGTCCCCTTATCTATTTAAACCTCAAAAGACAACTTGAACCCCATTTAAAATTCTTCCAAAACTTAGTCTCTAAAAGGACAACTCATTGAGTACTATGAACATTCTAGCAAGATTAATTTCCTTCAGGGGGTGCTCACAAAACTCTAATGTCATGAAGAAGTCTATTATATGTTCTAGCTGTCATCTCATATCTACACTTAATCCTAAATAAAAGGAAAATGTGTTGCTGCACATGGTGTTTCTGACCAAATAAAAGAATATGTAAAAGGATCCTCATTTATTCTCTGCTATCATCTTTGAAGATAAATGACACTAAATGATGAATTTGTGACAGCTAAAGAGCCTTAGAAGGCTATATCAAGCCCCTCTCAATATTAATCTCTCTCACGGCACCAAACTCAATTTGCAGTTAAATTGTTAAAATGTCTGTCTTTGGAGGAAGTTTTGCAAGCACATTGCTTTACCAGGCTTCCAAATCTGGATGTCTTTCCAAAGCTTGCCAACACACCTGCAGTCATTTTGATGTACACCTTCAACTTTGGCAAGAGAAACAAAGTTTTGCATTTGACCCTCCTCATGCTTTTCAATGTGATTCTCTTGCTCCAGAGTTGCTAACTACGTAAGCCATGTTTTGTTTTTCATCGTCTTCTCACAATCTGTTTATTGGTGAACCGGGTGTTCCTAATTAAAGTGGCCATTAAAATATTTGCAATAGAAAGAATTAGGGTAGCTTTTCCCTCTAAACAACTTCCACAGTCACTAATAAGTCAGTAATGAGTTCCCGCTTATTATGTCTATTATAATTATTATCAGAATTGAGCATGAATTCTTAAGAAGTCATCTGTCTTTTAGACCTTCTTGCATTCTCATTATATTCTGATTTCCAAGGAGTCTCTCTTTTGGAAAAATCTCCCAAATAGAAAATATTAGCCTTTTTTGATGATGTTATTGGCACATGGCAGGGTCTATAATTCACTTTCTGGGCAAATATACTACCCTGAACTTCCTCCTCTTTCTTGTGATGTCCTCTGATGGATCACTAGAACTGGATTCACGGTAAGAGCCTTCATCAAACAAGTATTTGGGAACTGGTTTTTCTCTTTTTGTGGCTGTTGTTCTTCTCGTTTCTAATGAAATCACTGTCACCCTCAAACCATGCGTAGCTAAGTTCATACATAGACCTTTTGTCTGGGGTCTTCAGCTTGTATTTAGAGTGCTTTGGCTCGCCATCATGTTTCCATTCTGAAGAGAAGGCCTGCTGACTTGATCTAGCTGCTTGTTCCCCCGCGTTGCTTTCATCACTGTCAAGGGGTCCTTCTTCTGGAGAACTATGATATGTGGCCACAGATTTGTCTCTTTCCTCTTGGTTTATGCTAAGGGTCTCACTGAAGCATTCGGAATCACTACTGATTTCCTCCAAGAAGTCAGTCAGCTGTAATTCTAAGTCTATTGATCTGCAGGATGAGGAAACTTGGCTCTGCCTTGCAGATTTGGAATCTTGGACTTGGTGGGCGGGTATCTTTGCTGACAGGTTGCGTTTTCCATCAACTGGGGACAGCTGATCACCAGCTTCACTGGCGGCATGGTCGCAATCAGTTTTTAACCCTTTAGCACAATCTTTGGCATACTCCACTTTTCCTCTCTTCTGTGGTTTATGCTCAGGTTCTTGAGTACATATCTTCGACCAGTCATCATCTTCTTGAACCTGTTCTCGCCCTTCCAGGTTTTGCTTTTGGTTCAAATTGATTGAATGATGCCTACGTTTTCTCAAATTGATCTGAAATCCGTTTCCCTTAGTATGGACATCCCTCTGCCATTGACATGTGCTTTCTATGTGACTTGGTTCTAGGTAGATACGGGCATATTTTGGTGTTTGATAGTAGTTTAATAGGTAGTCAATAAATTCATCTGTTTCATAGATCTTCTGTTTCCTGCTACCATCTCGCTCAAATAATCTAGAAGAATAGGATTTAGTAGAGCTGTGGTGGTCATCTTCCTCAAGAGACTGACCTTGAATCATTGTAACCTGCCAGGAATTCTGGTCAGGAAACAAATTATAATGGCATCCATCCATTAATAATTTTCCATGTCTTTCTTTTCTAGTTGAATATCTTAATGTTTGTTTCTCAAAGCTGTGGGAAGATTTATATAAGTGAGTCCTAGTTCTTTTCTTCACTTTTTGCTTGCTTTTACTGTCTGACCTGGCAACCTGATATCTTGGTATCTCTTCTTGATTTTGAAGATGCTGGGTGTCTGATTCTTCCTCCTTCAGTATTTCCAATGTGTTCCCATGATTAGCTTCAGGGCCTGTAATGTTGACCTCTTGGGAGTTAAACTGTGTGGATCCCTTAAAAGAAAAGGTTAAAAAAAAAATCACATGAAAAACTAAATAGGTTAAAATATTCCAAAGAAAACTGGGCTCTCTGACATTATTCTCAAGAGACTTCTAATACCTGGGATAGATCCAAATTAGGAATAACATTGTCCTAAAGAAATAGGAGGCACAAAATTAAACATCCAATATGAGTTGCTTATGTCAGAAAGTACCACACTTTACATGGCTTTCAAAGCATAGGGCTCTTTTTTTATTTCATCAAAACTTGTTATGCCTACTCTGGTAGGTTGATAGTAATAGGAGCTGGGGAAACAAAGAGAAAGAAAAAACACCCTCTAGTTCTCCCAGAAACTCTGGATGCAAGAAAGGGCTGAAGGGTGACATGTGTGTCTAAAAGAGACAACAGGTTCAACAAATAAATGGCCTTTCTGCTTCTTAGGTCAGCCTCTTACTATGGATTACAGGTGATGTGTCCCCGAGTTGCCTTGTCTCACCTGCCTCATTAAGAAACCAGACGTGAGGGTGGGTGTTGCAGCAGTTAGGACACCCACCTCCCATATTGGGAGCACCTGAGTTTCAGTCTAGGCTCTGCTCCCAATTCCAGCTTCCTGCTAATACACCACCTTGGAGACAGTGGTGATGGCTTAAGCCCTTGAATCTCTGCCACCCTTGTGGGAGATCAGGATAGAGTTCTTGGCTCTTGCCTTTGACCTGGCCCAGCCCTAGTTGTTGCAGGCATTTGGGGAGTGAAGCAGCAAATAGAAAATCTCTGTCTATATCCCTCTCTAATAACATTTTTTTTAAAAAAAGAAACAAGGTGGCAAGTAGCAAATGTGGCCATGACCATGCTTCTACGTGCAGTCATATACCTTGCACAACTGCAAAACAGGTGAAAGGTGCGGCTCCCAGCCCTACCTTGCTGGGAGGATTTTTACTGAGTACCCACAGAGACCTGACACACCTCAGAGCACAGTTCCTATCCATTACCTGATCATGTAATTGGCATAAGTATTAATGGGGCCAAGAATTAGATATCACAGTCATTTAAAGAGATATATTCTTTAAAAGTAGTCACTCTTGGCAGTCATTAAACCAAAAAAGATCCAGCTAGCCTTATAATAAATGTAAATGTGGGATCCTTTTGATCTTGATTTCACCAAGTGTGATTGTCCACACTGATAAGAAACAGGCCAAGATGGCAAATATGTACAGAAGTAACTCTATAGAATACTAATAGCATTCAGTCTTCATACTTCAAACTGACTAAATAATTTTCAATTCACACTTTGGGAGCCTTGTGGCATTCCATTCAGGATATCTGCTGAGTCTCTATCTTGAAGTGCTCAGGAACGAGAAGAGATTCCTCTCAAAAAGGAAACTCTCCAAACAAAACAGTTGCTTTGTGAGGCGAGAAATCCCATACCAAATAGTTTAAGACTAGACTAACATGAGCCTGCTGCAACGCTCAAGGCTCTGGCTTCTCATCCAAGCCTCATGCAGATGAATGGATAGTTAATGGAGAACAACATATCTCTCAGCCACACCATTCATTTCTCTTTGGCAGTTTCCCGCTAACATTCATTAGGAACTTAGAAAAGGAAAATAGCTAAATTGTTCCAAGTGACCCGGCCCTGGAGTTCAGAAACATGAATTTTGTGTGCTGGATGGTGGAGTTGAGACCCAACTCCTTTAGCAAAGGTGTGGATATCCATGCTGTAAGTCCACAATTGGGGTTCTTAGAGACCAGCCTATTTAAAACAAACCCCAGTAAATGCCACGAGTCTTTCACGGAGTCAGTTTGCCATAGACCGCTGCTTAAATGCAAAGGTTGTGTCTCAGAAAGGTTAGTACCTACCAAGATTGAAGAACAATTGGGAAATAGCCTTACTGAAATTTTCCTCAGGAGTACCCGTAGCAACCGCAGGGCCTCAGCCTGCCTCTGAGCCAGCAGGTACTTCCTCTCCTCCCACTCCTCGGAAGAGTCCAGCTCCTGAGGCACCTTAGCTTTGGCTTTGTCCTTTTGTTTCCTGTGCCGGTGTCTGTCCCTCTCCTTCAGGGCTCGCCTCCTGACCCTGGCCTTCTTCCTCTTTTCCTGGGCTTTCCTCTCCTCGTCTTTTCTTTTTCTGTACAATGATTAAGATTAAACCATTCAGAAGGTATCTATTAGGTAGTTGATCTCTCCCAACCGGGGGAAGACAGATCATTCCGGCTTCCAAGAATCTACCACTGCTAGCCCCAGGGCCTATGACAACTTATGCGAAACAGAAACAACACCAAACACTGTTAAGCATCAGTCAAGGGAGAAAGACATAATTTTGCTGGTCAAATAGACATATGTAAAGAAGCCCTTTTGAAGAGTACAGTGTCCAAAAAAAAAGGTTACAGAATTCAGAGGGGCTCTCAAACTTTAAAAAGGAACTACAGGATCCAGGTTTCACAGTAATGATTTCATTTGTCTTGCCATCAGAACCTTCTGTGGGATGGTTTCACATAAGCAAGAAAAAAAAAAGATAAATCAAGGAATCCAGAAACCTTTACAGTGAGAACTGGTCCTTGGCACATATCGCTTAACACAGCATACTCTCATGAAAACATACTGGCTTACAGGAATATGGGCTCTTTTTATACTGATGTTTTCTGAAAGTTCAAACTGTTTCAGTTAGGCCCTTCTGGAGACATGGACAATGCGAGAGCAGGGGCAATTACTTGATCCAGGACTTAGCCAACATTGTCTACATTGGATGTTCATCCTGGAATTGGGAGGGAGGTGCGGGGAAGGGGAGGGTGATCTTTTTCTTGAGTAGGCTCAACTCCAGCCAGGCTTTCAGATGTGACCTCAAGTGGCTCCTGTTACCCCACCGGCCAAAACAACGAGGGGCATATGGAAGCTCATTGTTTCCTTGTTTGAATGCTGGAACACACATGCACAAGGAAGGGCCAGGAAAGAAAATTGGTTTCCAGAACCCTGGAGTTCTGGCCCATCTGTACCTTCTTAGCAAACCTTTGGCAATCCACTGGCCCCTTCCTGACTCAAGCTCCTAAACTGGGAAATAGTCAACTCAAAGAAATAAAAATGAAAGCACAGTAAGAAATTAGGACAAGAAGAAAGTGGTCCTAACCCATGTTTTCTTGCCTCTGGGTTAGTTTGATTATTGACTGTTTCATAGAAGAAATTCTTTTCCAGGCCTACCTTTTTAAAATTCTAAATTAGTAGGCTAGGTAATATTGGTAAATCATTAGGGAAATTGGTAATTTCTTTTTCACTTAATAGGCAAGTATTTTTACTGTTAAAGTTCTGGCTTCTGAAATCATTTTTCCCCCACACATCTTAATCTGACCAGCCCCATTATTTCTCATTACTTGTTCTCCCTAAGGAATGTATTTTTTTGAAGTCTCTTATTTTCAGTTTTGTTTGGCGCTTTGGGTTATGTAACAGCACAGTTGAAAGACTGTGTTCAGGGCAGTTTTCCTGTCTGCATCAATACCTGCCCCCTCCCCACCTCACGGTTAGCTATCAAGTCTAGCCAGTCAGCCAAAAGGATTAATTCATGAATCAAAAGAAAAAAACCTTCATTAAAGTTGGTCTGCTCACCTTTCAGCCACTTCCTCTTCTCTTTTCTTTTCTTTTTTTCTTTCTTCCTCCAGCTCCTGTAATTTTAGCCTTTCCTGATTTCTCCTCCTTATAGCTCCTTCACTGAAGTGTTTGGTTGTGTCAAACATAACCTGTCCCCAAACAATTCAAAGTTTCATTAGAAATGCTTGCTGGCTGGCTGTGCATGTCCCAGGCCAGAGAGGCAAAGCTAAGATGGTACATGGCCACTCACACCCAGATGAATTCAAAATGTCCTCTCTGCAGCCAGTACCCACGCTGTTTTACTGCCTCTCAGACACCAGCCAAATAGTACTCGAGGTGCAAAGATTTTCTTCAGCCAAACACTTGACTAATGATATCACATGACGCATTACCTTAAGTTTATACAATTTCAGGGGCTAATGTTGTGGTGTAGTGGGCTAATCGCCACCTATGACACCGGCATCCCATATGGGAGCCAGTTTGAATTCCAGCTGCTCCACTTCTAATGTGGCTCCTGCTAATGCTCCTGGGAAAGCAGCAGGAGATGGCCCAAGTGCTTGGGCCCCTGCACCTGTGTGGGAGACCCAGAAGAAGTTCCTGGCTCCTGGCTTCGGATTGGCACAGTTCCAGCCATTGCTGCCAATTGGGGAGTGAACCAGCGGATGGAAGACTTCTCTCTCTGTCTGTCTCTCCTTCTCTCTATGTGTAACTCTGACTTTCAAATAAATAAATAAATCTTTAAAAAAAAAAAAACTGCCGGGGGGCCGACATTTGGAGCAGCAGTTTAGATAGCACTTGGGATGCCCACATCCTATATTAGAGTGCCTGAGTTCAAGTGCCAGCTCCACTCTTGATTCCAGTGTCATGCTAATGCACACCCTGGGAGGCAACAAGTGATGGCTCAAAGACTTGGATCTCTGCCATCCCTGTGGTAAACCCAGGTTGAGTTCCAGGCTCCTGGCTTCAGCCTGGCCTGGCTATGGCTGTTGTGGGCATTTGGGGAGTGAACCAGCAGTGGAAGTCCTTTGTCTCTCTGCCTTTTAAATAAAATAAAACTAAATTCATTAAATATTTAAAAATCTTGAGAAGCTTAGCTTACATATGATCACAGGCAGTATCGCAGTGCCATTTATAGCCACAGATTGAGAAATGAGAGTATGCAACCTCTGGTTTGTTTTAAAAGGTCATCTGAGTTAATGTTGTTTTAATCACCAAAGACAAAAATAATCAAAAAACTGTGTCCTGGGAGTTGAGGGGAAGCAAAGATGGAAAAAAAAGAAAAAGAAAAAGAAAAACTGACCTAATAAGATACAATAGGTGACAATTCATGATTTATTTATTTATTTTTATTTATTTGAGAGGTAGAGTTACAGACAGTGAGAGAGAGAGACAGAGAGAAAGGTCTTCCTTTCGTTGGTTCACCCCCCAAATGGCCGCTACGGACAGAGCTGTGCCAATCCAAAGCCAGGAGCCAGGTGCTTCTTCCTGGTCTCCCACGTGGGTGCAGGGCCCAAGCACCTGGGCCATCCTCCACTGCCCTCCTAGGCCACAGCAGAGAGCTAAACTGGAAGAGGAGCAACCAGGACTAGAACCCGGCACCCATATAGGATGCAGGTGCCTCAGGTGGAGGATTAACCAAGTGAGCCACAGCGCCGGCCACACAATTCATGATTATTAAATTCCCTTTCAAATCTTGAGATAAAGTGAAAGTCAGATTGAGGCACTACAAAACAGATTGGCTGGGGGGAGGGGCAAAGAGGAAGCAAAAGCAGCTATTTAGATATGCATGAGAACAGTGAGGAACACGTTTGTGACAATGGTTACCTTTGAACGGACCAAAGGGACTGTAACAGAGAAGGGTACATGGAAAGGAAGTGGCATCTCCTCTTCCTGATAGTGTTCTATATTTTAAGCTCCCAGTGGTATCTGGGTGGTTGCTAGAGTGTTTTCTTGATCTTTTGTCTGACTGGATGGCTCATCATATAAAAATACATATTTTAGTGTAAGTACCCACACACACACATGCACACAAACACAAACACAATCACACACTGGGAACTCAAAAGTCTAAATTCACACTAAAGGATATGGTTGCATTTTTTCCACTGCTGAGTTAAGTCCTCAAGGAAGAAATGATGAAAGCATGCAGATATCAGTGAGGTGACCTGCCTGAGTAGACTGATTCTGAAAGTAAAAGATCCAAGTTGGTTAGGATTATGTTCTTTTTTTTTATTTGACAGGTAGTTATAGACATTGAGAGAGACAGAGAGAAAGGTCTTCCTTCCGTTGGTTCACTCCCCAAATGGCCTCTATGGCCGGTGCTGCACCGATCCAAAGCCAGGAGCCAGGTGCTTCTTCCTGGTCTCCCATGAGGGTGCAGGGCCCAAGGACCTGGGCCATCCTCCACTGCCCTCCCAGGCCACAGCAGAGAGTGGACTGGAAAAGGAGCAACCAGGACTAGAACCCGGCACCTATATGGGATGCTGGTGCCACAGGAGGAGGATTAACCAAGTGATCCATGGTGCCAGCCCCAGGATTATGTTCTAATAGTCTTCATGGGGTCGGCGTTGTGGTGTACTAGGTAAAGTCGCCACCTGCTGTGCCGGCATCCCATATAGGCACTGGTTCTAGTCCTGGCTGCTCCAATTCCAATCCAGCTCTCTGCTATAGATTGGGAAAGCAGTAGAAGATGGCCCAAGTCCTTGGGTTCTTGTGCTGTACACCCCTGGAGCTGTGCTCCAGGCTCCTGGCTTCGAATTGGCCCAGTTCCAGCCATTTCAGCCATTTGGGGAGAGAACCATTTTATGGAAGAATGCTCCCTTGTGGGGAGCAACTGGGAGCAACTCGGACTAGACTAAGTTACTGGAATTAAGACTTATTCTATGCATCTGCTTTCCCACAATATGGCGCTGAGAAGGGAAACAGCTTCTACACAGCTGCCTCCAGTTCAACCAATAAACTGTGGGACCTGCTCCTGATTGGAGGAGAGCAGCGTACTCGGCGTGTGGGTAGCAGAGTTGGGATTGGTGGAAGAGGACTATAAAGGAGGAGAGAGATGGCATGCACCAGGAACATCTAAGGGGAACACCTGTGCAGCCCCCGAGAGAGCCGGCCGGCGGTGTGCTGCTCCCCCGCGGAAGTGGGGAATGTGGCAGGGGGAACCGCCCTTCCACGGAGGTGGAAGGGACGGTAGCCAACCCGGGAAGGACCAGCAGCCAACCTGGGAAGGACCAGCAGCCAACCCGGGGAGGGCCGAGCAGACGAAAGAACAGCGCAGGGTCCTGTGTCGTTCCTCCACGAAGACGGGGAGCGACACTCCCTCTCTCTGCCTCTACCTCTCTGTAACTCTGCCTTTCAAATAAATAAATCTTTATTTAAAAAAAATAGTTTTAATGATGGATGTCCTCAAAATATATATGTGCCACCCTAGGAATAAAGGGGGAATAAACTGCTCTCCTTGTGATTTCAAATGGCATGTCTCTGTCTCTGTCTCTCTCACCCACTCTATAACTTGTCAAATATAACAAGCATATGAGATAGTTTCATGGGTTTAGTTCCATAAAGAATCCATTAAGAAGTTGAGGTGAGCTCCACAATGTAACAACCATCACTTTTAAAATCACAACTGGGAGTGAGCATTTAGCCTAGTGGTTAAGATACTTATGTCCAGAGCCAGCATTGTGGCGTAGCAGGTAAAGCCGCTGCCTGCAACGCTGACATCCCATATGGGCACAGCTTCATGTCCTGGCTGCTCTGCTTCCAACCCAGCTTCCTGCAGTGGAGGATGGCCAGAGTGCTTGGGCCCCAGCACCCAAGTGGGAGACCTGGAAGAAGCTCCCGGCTTTAGCCTGGCCCAGCCTCAGCCATTGTGGCCATTTGGGGAGTGAACCAGTGGATGGATGATCTGTCTGTATATCTTAAAAAAGGAAGGGAAAGGGAGGGAAGGGGACGGGAGGGGAGGGGCGGGGAGGAGAGGAAAAAAGGTGCTGATTTCCTATATCAGCACGCCTGGGTTCAATTCCTGCCTCCAGCTTCCTACTAAGGCAGACCGTGGGAGGCAGCAGGTGATGGCTTAAGTGACTGCGTTCCTGCCATCTGTATGGGAAATATGGATTGTGTTCCTGGCTCCTGGCTCCTGGCTTCGGATTGGCACAGCTCTGGCCATTGCAGCCATCTGGGGAGTGAACCAGTGGATGAAAGACCTCTCTGTCTCTGTAACTCTTTCAAATAAATAAATCATATATATATATACATACATACATACACACACACACATATATATATATATAGGGGCTGGCATTGTGGTGCAGCAGGTTAAACCCTGCTGGGGACACCCGCATCCCATTATTAGAGCGCCTGGTTTAGCCCCAGCTAGTTCCAGTTTCAGATACAGCTTCTTGCCCAGTGTACCTGGGAGGCAGTGGATGATGGCCCAAGGCTTGGGCCGCCACCACCCACATGGGAGATCTGGATGGAGCTTTCAGCTCCTGATTTTGGTATGGCCTAGCTCCGGCTGTTGCAGACATTTGAGAAGTGAACCAGTGGATGTATGTGTGTTTCTCCATCTCTCTGTGTCACTCTGCCTTTCAAGTAAAGTAAATACATCTTTAAAAATAAATAAATAAAATGGCACCTGGAAGCATGCACCACAGCAAAAGACTGCATGTTAAAATCAAGATCATTATTCTTGCTAAACATCCATGAGGGCATTTCAAAAAGTCCATGGAAAAATGGAGTGAAAAGATAAGGTTGTTTCAGTGAAAAATTTTTGAAAATCATATGTAGTTTTTTTCATAACACACATTTTCTATCAACTTGTGGAAAACCCCTAATAATCATGGATTTCAAAACTTTTTGCACCAGGGCTGGTGCTGTGGCATAGTAAGTTAAGCCTCTGCCTGTGGCGCCAGTTCCAGTCCTGGCTGCTCCACTTTCGATCCAGCTCCCGGCTAATGGCCTGGGAAGACAGTGGAGGATGACCCAAGTTCTTGGGCCCCTAAAGCCTCATGGGAGACCGGGAAGAAGCTCCTGGCTGCTGGCTCCTGGCTCCATATTGGCCCAGCTCCAGCTGTTGTGGCCATCTGGGGAGTGAACCAGCAAATGGAAGACTTCTCTCTCTCTCTGTAACTCTGCCTCTCAAATAATCTTTTTAAAAAAAAGAAAAATTTTTTGCATCAATATAACCTTATCTTTCTTTTTCCACAAACTTTTTAAAATACCCACATATTTATTAATGACACACACAAACACACATCCTTACATTAGCTATTGATCAGACCCCGGTGGGATCTGGGAAAATTAATTCTAGATGTTTCCTTCCAGCTTTTGCTCAGTATCACATGAACAATGGGAGGCAAAAGAAACAGCGGCCACTTCTTACCTTAATGTTACAAGCAAGAGCTTTCCCATCATCTCCTTTAAGCATCAGCTTCATTCCTCGAAGGGACTCCATGGCTTTTAGAAAGTCAGTTGATTCTTGATACTGTATAAAGGCTTCAAACGTCTGCAGGCCAAAGCTAAAACCCCCGAAGTTCCCACCAGTCATCACTTCTCTGTAGGGGTCAAGCATTGGGATATCCACATTCTTGATCTTCCCAAAACTTTCAAAGACTACCCGGAGGATCTCTTCACATGGCTTCTCCCCACTGGAGCCTTTAGGCGCAAACCACTTACAGGGCAAGCCTTCGAAGTATATGGAATCTGGGCTCTTATCATGGTCCTGCTCTTCAGCGCCATCACTCAGGGAGGCCTCTTTTTCCTTGGGGAAATGTTCCCACTCTCCCTGGGCATCAGTAGCCACAACTTTTAAGTCTGTTTTCAAACCATTTAACTTGATGATCTTCCCATGTAATTTGGACTTCAGGATCTGAACCAAACTTCGGGTTTCAGCCTCACCCTCAAATCGGATAAAGTCCTTTGTACTCTTGGACAGCCGAACTGTGGTGAACTGGTCAGGGCAAATCAGGCTTTTTAGCTGGTCAAGAACTTCCCAGTTAGAGAAGGGCCTCCCAGGTTCTATACTCTCAGGCAGCAAAACATTGATCATGAGTTTTGCTATGGGCTTGAGATAGAGGTGCTGAGCTGCACAGAGCTCTGTTGCCTCAGAGTTATCATACACCACTGTAACCGTCATGGTGTCTTCAGACTACCTTAGGGGGTGAAAGAGAAAATGTTATGGAGCACATCACAGACCTGCGTTGTGAAGTAGCGCTAACATTGCAGGACTGAGCTCAAATTGATGGGGGAAAGTATGCTGTGGATACAATGAAAGTAACCCCTTACAACTTCTAGAACTAATATGCAATTACAGTAAGGTTGCAAGAAACAAGAGTAATACAAAAAAGTCAACAGCTTTCCTATACTTCAGCGATGAACAGGGGAATTGGAAATCTAAACTATGATATCATTTTCATTAGCACCCAAAACAATTAAATACTTGGGTAAAAATATCTAACAAAATATAAACCAGCTCTATATGAGGAAAATCACAAAACTCTGATGAAAGACATCAAAGAACTAAATACGTGGTCCATGGGTAGAAGACTCAGAGTGTCAGTTCTTTCTAATTTGATCTATAGATTCAGTGCAATCCTAATCAAAATCTTTCAAGTTATTTTGTGGTTATCAACAAACTGATTCTAAAGTTTGTATGGAGAGGCAAAAGATGCAGAGTTAAGCCGGCGCCGCGGCTCACTAGGCTAATCCTCCGCCTAGCGGCGCCGGCACACCGGGTTCTAGTCCTGGTCGGGGCGCCGGATTCTGTCCCGGTTGCCCCTCTTCCAGGCCAGCCCTCTGCTGTGGCCCGGGAGTGCAGTGGAGGATGGCCCAGGTGCTTGGGCCCTGCACCCCATGGGAGACCAGGAAAAGCACCTGGCTCCTGGCTCCTGCCATCGGATCAGCGCGGTGCGCCGGCCGCATTGCGCTGGCCGCGGCGGCCATTGGAGGGTGAACCAACGGCAAAGGAAGACCTTTCTCTCTGTCTCTCTCTCTCACTGTCCACTCTGCCTGTCAAAAAAAAAAAAAAAAAAGATGCAGAGTTATCAATTAAATAGTGAAGGAATACTGGAATACTGACACTAACCATCTTCAAGATTTATTATAAAGCTACCATAATCAAGATAGTGTGGCACTGGCAAAAGAATAGATACAAATAGATTCACATAAACACAGTCAATTGATCTTTAGAAAAAGGAGCAAAGACAATACCATGGCATAGATAGCCTTGTCAACAAATGGTACTGGAACAGTTGGACATCTGCGTGATATTTGGGTATGGTAATGGCTTTTTAACTGCAACATTAAAGGCAAGATCCACGAAAGAAATAACGAATATGCTGAATTTTGTTAAAATTTAAAATTTTTCTGTTCTGAAATCGTCTCTAAAATTTTCTGCTTTAAAATCTCCTGCTCTGAAAAACATTGTCAAGACAATGAAAGTCACAGGCTGGGAGAAAATATTTGCAAAGTACATCAGATGCAGACTGTTATACAAAAGATACAAAGAACTCTTAGGACATGACAATAAGAGTATAATCTGATTTGAAAATGGGTCAAATATTTAGACAGTGAACAAGTGGAAAGAAGATACCTCTGTCTCTTTCTCTTGCTGCCTTTCAAATAAAAATAATTAAATAAAAATGGGCCAAAGACCTTGGCATATATTTCCCCAAAGAAGATATGCAGATGGAACAAAGCATATGAAAGATGCTCTGCAGTGTAAGTCAATAAGGACATTAAAATTAAAACAACCAAGGCCAGCACCGCGGCTCAATAGGCTAATCCTCTGCCTCCAGTGCCAGTACCCTGGGTTCTAGTCCCGGTCGGGGCGCTGGATTCTGTCCCGGTTGCCCCTCTTCCAGACCAGCTCTCTGCTGTGGCCAGGGAGTGCAGTAGAGGATGGCCCAAGTCCTTGGGCCCTGCACCCCATGGGAGACCAGGAGAAGCACCTGGCTCCTGGCTTCGGATCAGCGCGGTGCACTGGCCGCAGTGCGCCGGCCGCGGCAGCCATTAGAGGGTGAACCAACAGCAAAAGGAAGACCTTTCTCTCTGTCTCTCTCACTGTCCACACTGCCTGTCAAAAAAAATTTTTAAAAATTAAAAAAAAAGATACCACTGTACACCCAAATGATAGTGAAGATGATATGCTAGAGAAACTCTCATTCATTGCTTGTGGGAACGCAAAATGGTACAGCCACTTTGCAAGACAGCACAGTGGTTTCTTACAAAACTAAACAGACTCTTGTCACATAATCTAGCAATCACATTCCTTGGTATTTACCCGAAGAAAAAACTATGTCCACACAAAACCCTGCACACGACATTTATAGCGACTTTATTCACAATTACCAAAACTTGGAAGCAACCAAAATGTCCTTCAGTAGGTGAATGAATAAATAATTTGTGGTAAATCCAGACAATAGAATACTCTTCTATCATTTTTTAAAAATGATCCATAATGTCATAAAAAACTTAATGCACATTGTTGAAATGCATAAGTGGAAGAAGCCAATCTGAAAGCTACATCCTGTGTAATTCCAACCATATGACATTCTGAAAAAAGGCAAAACTATGAAGATAGTGAAACCATCAGTGGTTGTCAGGAGTTAGAGGAGAGAGAGGAATGAAAACAGTGAGCACAAGGGATTTTTTAGGGCAATGACACTATTATATACGATACTATGGTAGGTACATGTCATTATACATTTGTTCAAATTCATAGACTATTCCACACCAAGCGTGAGCCCTGGTGTACACTATATACTCTGGGTGACAGCAATGTGTCAGTGTAGGTTCATCTGTTGTAACAAATGTACCACTCTGGTGGGGAATGTTGATAAAGGGAGAGCTATGACTCTGTAGGTGTAGGAGGCAAATGGGAATTCTCTGCCTCCTGCTCTGTGACCTAAACTTCTCTATAAAGAATTAAGTCTATTAAAATAATATCTAACATTTATTTGATAACATTTGTTTAATGTGTTTTAAGAGTTTTCAGGCATTGTATCTCAGTTTGCTTAACCATAGAGACAATAGGATTTCTGGGAGGATTAAATGAGCAATGTTAGATGAAATCTTTAGAACAGTGTTTAGCACACAGGAAATTCTCAGTAGAAATTTTCAATAAACTATGACTATTACTTGTCAATGGTGATGATATTACTTTATCTCATTTGATTCATGAAGCAACCACGAGTACATATTCCCATGTCTGCTTTATTGATGGGGAAATTGAGACAGATTCAGAGGAATTAAATGATTTATCCATCTATTAAAACACCAAGATTCCAAGTCTTCAGTGTATTGTCTGGTTTATCTCATCTGTGAAGTCCCACAAAAACTTGCTGGTGAAACAGAGGAAAGGTAATGAATGTGCACCCAACAAATAGTTCTACCCCGTGAACCTGATTTAGCGTCCTTTGTCCAGGGAGGTTCCCAAGTCTTAAATGGAAAGATTTTTTTTTTTTTTGACAGGAAGAGTGGACAGTGAGAGAGAGAGACAGAGAGAAAGGTCTTCCTTTGCCGTTGGTTCACCCTCCAATGGCCGCTGCGGCCGGCATACTGCAGGGGTGCAGGGCCCAAGCACTTGGGCCATCCTCCACTGCACTCCCTGGCCACAGCAGAGAGCTGGCCTGGAAGAGGGGCAACCGGGACAGAATCCGGTGCCCCGACCGGGACTAGAACCTGGTGTGCCGGCGCCGCAAGGTGGAGGATTAGCCTAGTGAGCCGCGGCGCCGGCTAAGATCTAATCTTATTCTTCCTATCTACGGATGTAAATTGATCACTACATTCAAGTGAAGAGTAGACAACATCTTCAAGTAAGTGGCAAAGTGAAATTGCCCTTACTTTGGGAATGGAAAAGCCTCAAAACGTGAGCACGGTTTCCATATTAGCTGGCATTTCATAATAGCAGACTCTTTTAAATTGCCTCAAAGTGAATAAGATCATTAATGCTTGGAATTAAGGATATCAGCTTTTATTTGCAGATTTCAAATAGCACTCCCAACTAAGGAGTGGATGCATTCAGACCCTATGTTACTAGTTTCTCATTTAATATCAACTTTAGGGAAACACAGACCCAAAAATATATGGCTAGATAATGGAAATTCTGGCACAAATTTACTATTAAATGTTGATTAACTTTATAGACACACAATTCTTTAATAACTTTCCCTGAAAGACAATCCAAGTCAACTTATTTAGAAGAAAAGGTTTGTACAAACTGATTTTATAAAAGGTCAGCAAAAGTAGTATCTAAGATCTTAGGTTCTAGAAATCCTTATGATAGCAACATTGAACTGGAACAATATGAAAAGAACCATGTTTCCTTTCTCCAAAAGCATTATCCAAATAGTGAAATGAAGGAGAGGAGGGATCCACTTAGTACACTGCAGATCAATATTAAGTTCATTCAGGAGAACAACTAATTTGATATTCAAATAGGATACACTGAAATCTAGAATTTATTTATAGTCAAAAGGCACAAATTTATACAACTTAAAGAAACAGCTTCTGGCCGGCGCTGCAGCTCACTAGGCTAATCCTCCACCTGCAGCGCTGGTACCCCGGGGTTCTAGTCCTGGTCGGGGCACCGGATTCTGTCCCGGTTGCTCCTCTTCCAGTCCAGCTCTCTGCTGTGGCCTGGGAAGGCAGTGGAGGATGGCCCAAGTGCTTGGGCCCTGCACCTGCATGGGAGACCAGGAGGAAGCACCTGGCTCCTGGCTAGCACACTAGCCGTAGCGGCCATTTGCGGGGGTGAACCAACGGAAGGAAGACTTTTTTCTCTGTCTCTTTCTCTCTCTCACTAACTCTGCCTGAAAAGAAAGGAAGGAAGGAAGGAAGGAAGGAAGGAAGGAAGGAAGGAAGGAAGGAAGGAAGGAAGGAGAGAGAGAGAGAAAGAAAGAAAGAAAGAACGAACGAGCGAACGAGCGAAAGAAAGAGCGAAAGAAAGAGCTTTTTAAAACCATTCCAGGGGCTGGTCTTGTGGCATAGTGGTAAAGTCACTGCCTGCAACACCAGCATCCCATATGGGTGGTTCATGTCCCAGATGCTCCACTTCCAATCCAGTTCCCTGCTAATAAGCCTGGGAAAAAAGCAGAAGATGACCTGTATTTGGGCCCCTGCCACCTACATGGGAGACCCAGATGAAGATCCT